CCACTGCTGGACTATTTGTTATTGTCAGAAAACTCAATCAAACGGGAAATATGGTAGATTCCTGTTGTGCCCCAGGATGCAGAACAGACACGGACGACATAAGGAATGAGTCATCTACAGGATTCCCCAAGATCCGGAGCGCCGCAAACTTTGGATCATTGTAATAAAACGTGCTAGTGACCGGGCTAAAATGAAGCTGTGGGATCCCGAGAGTAAAGGTTTTCACTTATGCAGCGACCGCTTCATATCAGGTACTTAAACCAACGTTTCCTCAACTGTGTGTGGTATTTATTTTAAATACTTTTATTACAATTCATAGTGGGCTTCCTAAACTTATTTTGGCGTGGCTTTTTCTGTCTTATTACTCATAGCAGCAAGTAAACATCACGTAAAACGTTGCCTCGTGATTTCTGCGTGCTGCCGTTTACGTGTTTTATGACCACAGCAATTAACCGGCTAAGCTGTATTTAATTTTTAAGCAATGGTTGATCAATTGTCAGATCACACATAAAAAGCACTTTGGATTGCTATTATCTGTCTCACTGAGACAGATCTCAGACAGATCCTGAGACGCTCCTGCCTGACATATTTATTTTATTCACGGAAAAAAATCAGACTAGTGATTTCTCTTGGAGTTCAGTTTATACATTCAAACAGCACAGCACTCTAAACTTCTTACGTGTAAATCTGTTATTTGTCCATCCATCCATCCATTTTCATCCACTAATCCAGAGTCGGGTTGCGGGGGCAGTAGCGCCGAGAGGCCCAGACTTCCCTCTCCCCAGCCACTTGGACCTAGCCTGGCAAGCCAGACTAAATAAATGCACTTTGCAAAGCAAGAATTTGGTCTAGTTCACTAGGCTAACTTGGGCCAGCTCCTCCGGGGGAATCCCAAGGGGTTACCCGGCCAGGTCCGGTAAGAAGTCCGCTCCGACAGCTTCTGGCGTTTTTAAAAAGTATCCCAGGGGCACGGTAAGGGTCGGAGATGTTTAGTTTATTTAATTTCTGACTATAGAAAACGATTTCTTCAGTTTTAAAGTGTGAAGTAAACTCCGACGGAGTAAAATCCAAGCCGATCCCGTTCATTTTGTTTACATTTGTTGCCTGCCAACATGGCGTCTACTCTCTGAGAGTCACGTGACGCCCGGAGCTCTATTGAGGCCCAGTCCTGTCTGGTCTTACAGCATGCTGTCAGTTTCCAAGCAAAAGTCAACTGGCCTTCTCTGCTCTCCCTTATTTCCTCTGCTGGTCCGCCAAAATAAAAGCATGCAGTATAAAACTATAAAATCAAATTAAAACCATGCAAGAACAATCACTTATTTACAGAGCCTTTCCACAGTTACTTACAGGAACAAGTTCAGGGCAGCCTCAGACAACCTGGATAAGTACACAGCACTTGTGCCAGCATGCACCGGGGTGAGCTACAACATGATAAACCATGGTTCACAGCTAAACGGGTCAGAAACGGGAAAAAGGCTGCTTTCAGGAATGGAGACAAAGACAAGCCAGTTACAAACAGGCCAAAAACAGGTTCACAAGGAGGTGAGAAATGCTTAATCTCTGTACCCTGAGGAACTCCCAAAACTATTGTCAGCTAATGACTCGTCTGTGTGTGGAATGTTGGGAAAGGGCTTAACCAAATAACCAACTGCATGCCTAAAGCTTCCCATCGAGCTACGATCTGAAGTCTGAATGATGCAATTTTGATGGTCCATCAGATGGCCCTGACACATCCACACATCCTTTCAACATGGCCACTCACACCTCCAGTGTCCTAATGTAACCCCAACAGCTGAGAAGACAGTGAAGCTGACTGTGTACTCGGTGTCGGCTCCGTCACCCCCCAGCAAAGGTTGCATCCTGCTGCAGCAGCTGAAGAAACTGCATGATGCCAACCATGATGATGGTCCAGTTCTACACGGCCATCATTGAGTCCATCCTCACCTTACTGTGTGGTATGGTGGAAATACCGCCAGAGATCTGTACGTCTCCAGGTCTCCGAGGCATGATCCAGTCAGACTAGAACCTCTTGCCACAAAAACTTCTTCCCTCTGCTGTTGGACGCCTAAACACCAACTACACAGTTCTGCACTAGTTTATAAATCGCTTTGGATGAGTGTGTGCTAACTACATCTGCATAATCACATTAAGTTTTTTATTATTTACTATTCTTCTTATTATTACCTTAACTTTGATCTTTTACACATCACATGTTAGTGACATACGATACGTAATGTCACTTGATCCTTTTGTATGTAAGCACCATTCCACCGAAGGAAATTTCTAGTAATGTGAAACCTTACTTGGCAACAAAAACAATTCTGATTTTAATACTTTAATACTAACAATAAGGGTCAGTTTATCAACTTTCACGACTTTGAGTGACCCCGCAGACACCCTGTTATTATTAAGCATATCTAAATTATTAGGTCCTCAAAAACAGATTTAGTTAGCTAATGAAACAGAGTCATTTATATTAAAATAAAGCACACCAGCTTACCTTGTCATTTGTAACAGGAATTGTGTTGACAAGCCTTCTAAAAGCTGGCGAGTCCACAGTTGAAAGGGGCTGCACGTCTTCTACGATGTACTCCGCAACTGACCTCTTCACCTCACGTGGGTCTAGCAGCTCGCCTGTAGGGAGCAAAGCACAGCAAAAACAGTCAGGAATGAGTTCGTTTTGACGTTGGCAAAATGGATTACACGATTCGAGTGGATTTTTCCCCCCAGAATACGGATTATGATCACAAATCAGCAACGTGTATTCGTTTGGTCGTGTGAACAGTGAATGAAATCATCTCAGAACCGTAAGTGTGTGTGTCGTGTGTGTACATAACAACGTAAATTCAGCTTTAATAATTTTCATTCTATACAAAATCTGCTGATTTTAGAAGCATTGTCAGTTTATCGATATCAGCAAATATTGGTTATCGGCCATAACAGTGATCTTGATACCGGTATCGGCCCAAACATTTCATATCGGTGCATCACTAGTTCTTAGTTGCAAAGTAGTTTTTAGTTAGAGCTCCTCTAAATCTGAGACCACGGTCTTGAGTCGGAAAAGGGTAGAAGGCCTTCTCCGGGTCAGGGACGAGGTCCTGCCCCAAATGGAGGAGTTTAAAAATCCCAGGGTCGTGTTCGCGAGTGAGGGAACGATGGAGCGTGAGATTAATAGGCAGATTGGTGCTGCATCTGCTGGGACGTGAGTGTTGTACCGGTCTGTCATGGTGAAAGGAGAGCTGAGCCAGAAGGCAACGCTCTTGATTTACTCGTCGATTTCCTGCTCAAAAGCTTTAGGTAGAGACCGAAAGGATGACTTTATGGATATAGGCGGCCCAAATGAGTGTTCTACACTGGGTGATAGGGTGAGGAACTCGGTCATCCATGAAGGGCTCGGAGTAGATCTGCCGCTCCTCCACATCGAGAGGAGCCAGGTGAGGTGGCTCGGCATCTGGTTCGGATAAGGTTTTCCGGGCATGTCCAACTTGGAGGAGACCTAAAAGAAGACCCAGGACACGCTGGAGGGACTACTAGGTCTTTTCCAACAGTACTAGTCAGACTAAAACAAGTCAGTACAGCCTGGGTAACTCAGGTGGCTTTCCGTCAGCTCTGACACAAAAAAGGGGTACACCCCTCAGTGTGGTCTGGATGCTAAAAAAAAATCCAGAAATTGATATTTCATGAATTTCACAAACAATGTTTAATGTAATCTGCTATTTGTGCAGAATAATCTAGTCCAGGTTAGAAATGTCTAGGTGTTGTAGTCTGTAAGCTAGAGCAGATTACAGATGGTCAGAGTAGAGAAAAGTTGGGTGTAATAGCCCTTTAGCCGTTTCCCGAATAGGAAGCTGGAATTGTGAGCTAACTTCCGCCTGTGCTGCCTCTGAGCTGAGCTCAGTGACAGCCAGGACAATAAAAGGTTCTGAACCTCAGTTTCAGGGTTAAGTTCAGACGCCGTGCCATTGACCCCGTTATGACCAGAAATCCGTGCACAAGCAGATATTTGCTCTGGTCTCGGTGGGAAATGACCCAAATAAATCATGCAAATGTGAAGAAAACCAACAATACATGCAGTGAGGAACATAAGTATTTGAATACCTTGTGATTTTGCTAGTGCTCCCACTTAGAAATCATGGAGGGGTCTGAAATTCTCACAGTAGGTGCGTTCCCACTGTGAGACAGAAATCACATTGTATGGTTTGCACTGCGCACATAAGTATGTGAACAGCTGAGAAAATCAGTATTAATATTTGGTACAGAAGCTTTTGTTTGCAGTTACTGTAGTTCTTGACCAGGTTTGCACTTACTGCAGCAGGGATTTTGGCCCACTCCTCCACACAGATCTCCTCTAGATCTGTCAGGTTCTGGCGCTGGTGCTGAGCTACACGGAGTTTCAGCTCCCTCCAAAGATTTGATTGGATTTAGGTCTGGAGACTGGCTAGGCCACTCCAGAACCTTGATATTCTTCTTATGGAGCCACTCCTTGGTTATCCCGGCTGTGTGCTTCGGGTCATGTTGGAAGACCCAGCCACGACCCATCCCTGACTGAGGGAAGGAGGTTGTTGCTCAAAATGTCACAACACATGGCCCCATTCATCCTCTCCTTAATACAGTGCAGTCGTCATGTCCCCTTCGCAGAAAAGCACCCCAAATCATGATGTTTCCACCCCCATGCTTCACAGTAGGGAAGGTGTTTGGATGCAACTCCTCCTTCTTTTTCCTCCAAACACGGCGAGTGAAGTTTAGACCAAAACGTTCTACTTTGGTCTCTGACCACATGACTTTCTCCCATGCCTCCTCTGGATCACCCAGATGGTCGCTGGCAAACTGCAGACGGGCCTGGACGTGTGATGACTCGAGCAGGGGAACCTTTCGTGTAATGCGTGATTTGAAACCGTGACGGCGTGGTGTTCTGCCAACAGTGACCTTTGAACCTGTGGTCCCAGCTCTCCTCAAGTCACTGACCAGCTCCTCCCGTGTCGTTCTGGGCTGGTTCCTCACCTTTCTTATCAGTGATACCCCACCAGATGAGGTCTTGCATGGAGCCCCAGTCCGAGGGAGACCGACAGTCGTCTTTAGCCTCTCCCATTTTCTGACAGTTGCTCCAACCTGTTTCCACTGAGCTGCTTGGCCATTTCCCCGGAGCCCTTTCCAGTCTTGTGGAGGTCCACGATTTTGTCTCTGGTTTCTTTTGACAGCTCTTTGGTCTTGTCCATGGTAGTGGTTGGAGTGTGACTGACTGTGGGGTGGACAGGTGTCTTTAAAGAGCTCAGACAGGTGCTGCTAATGAAGATGACTAAGTGGAGTAGAGGTGGTTTTCTTGAAGGCAGAGTAACAGGTCTTTGAGAGCCAGATTTCTTGCTGATTGCCAGGTGTTCAAATACTTCTGTCCATCAGTGCAAAACCAACACATTCTTTACAAACCATACAATGTGATTTCTGTCTCTCCCAGCGGGAACCCACCTACTGTGTGAATTTCAGACCCCTCCATGATTTCTAAGTGGGAGAACTTGCAAAATCGCAAGGTGTTCAAATACTAATGTTCCTCACTGTATGTACACAGTAATGTTGATAGCGTGGATTGAAAGACAGGTGAAGGTTGATGCATTTAATCAGGGCTGCTGTAAAATGTTAATCTCCATCCACATCAGACAGAATTATCCGCTCTTCTGTCTCGTGTTCAGCAGCAGCTGGGATGTTTCTGAACACTTTCAAGTGAAACACTCTCCTTTTGTTTCCACTTTCTTTCTTGTGCCAACACCCGGTCCAGATGTAATCCATCCACCAACAAGGAGCGTGGAGCAGAGGTGGTCTACCGTTCGTTGTTACCGTTTTATACTGCCTTTAGTAAACAACCTAACAAATGTAAACATTGCCGAGCGCTGCATCACTTCAAAATCATATCTCATACATGTTCAGACCCACTTTCTTTGTAGGAGCTTGTTTCATCTCTGCCCAATCTATCTGGGTATCGGAGTCCCACAGATGGGCTTTGGGCTGTTTTTAGGTGGAGAAGTAGGACTCAAAGTGTGTGTGTGTGTGTGTGTGTGTGCGAGCTTCCGTTAACATGTAACTTGAGATCTGAAACCTTCTCTAAAGACCTGTTACTGTAAAATGCTGTTCAGGAATCTGCCCGTCGGCACTTTGCTGAGTTAGTGTCTCCCACCTCACAGGTGTGGCAAATCATGGAGCTGATTAGACAGCATGAGGGTTGCTCAGGTGTGCCATAGGCTGGATTTGAGATTAGTGGCTCTTTTGTGTGTCTAGAAAATGTTTCATATCTTTGAAAAATCTCATGAAAAATGAGAGCAAAAACAAAAGTGTTTATATTTTTATTTTATTGTCTTTAAATGCACAGACATGTGTTAAAACTGCGGCACGTATCAAACGGGATCGGCCCGTTGAATCTTTTTTATGGACCAGAAGTAGATGGGCGTGGCTGAGGCTCCCTACCGGCCTGCTGCACAGGTCTACATGGTTTTATAACTAAATTACCATAACAGACTGAATATTCAGGCTGCGCAGTGGTTAGAGCTGTTGCCTTGTAGCGAGAAGGTCCTGGGTTCCCTTCTCGGCCTGGGATCTTTCTGCATGGAGGTTGCATGTTCTCCCTGTGCATGCGTGGGTTCTCTCCGGGTGCTCCGGCTTCCTCCCACAGTCCAAAAACATGACTGTTAGGTTAACTGGTCCGTCTAAATTGTCCTTAGGTGTGTGTGTGTGTGTGTCTCTGTGTTGCCCTGCGATGGACTGGCTCTCTGTCCAGGGTGAACCCCGCCTGATTGCCCATTGACTGCTGGAGATAGGCACCAGCCCCCTGCGACCCTACATGGACAAGCGGGTTCAGACCATGGATGGATGGACTGAATATTCTGCTGTTTGTAAATGTCACTGTTACCAGCCTCTCTTCACTATGCCATCACACAGATTAGTTTTCATGCTCTTGTTGTGAAATGTTGACTTGATGAACCTGTTGTCAGTGAACGCATCCTTTAGTCTGTTAGCCAGCTCTGTTGTCTTGGCAACGTGTCAGAAGTTAGCGGCAGAGACGAACGGTTTCTGGAAGTTTTCACCTATTGCTCGGGGTTTTTCCCAGAATGTTAACAGACTTGCAGTTGCTGTGACCTTTGAGGTCAAAAATAAACCAGGAAAGCTGAAAACTGCCTCTGTCACGTTCTGCTTCCCAGCCTTGGTTGCCTCTTGTTAACCTGATCACCTGCTCCTGTGTATTTATTTAAGCCCCGTCATTCCTGTGTCTTTTGTCGGTTCGTCTGTTGTCCTCGTCTTATGTCTCCCCATGTCAACGTGCTTCTGTTCCTGTTGTTCCTGCGCTCCCAAGTCCCTGCAACAAATGGATTTAAGTAGTTTGCTGCCTCAGAACTTCACTCACCTGCATATAGGTCCAAAACCAACACTCACCATGACAGCCTCGTTCATCATCTTCAAACTCCACGTCATATTAAGACCTTCTTCTCTCTAAGAAGACAAAATTAAATTTCATTATTTACCTGTTTTGATTTTTACAATAATTGTGGGTTCTTCAGAACCAGAAAGTCCAGACCACACACAGATCTCAGCAGACTAAACTAATCTCTGCAATAGATCACTACAGCCAGGGTTCTGAATATGGGGGAGCTGGGCACACAAAACTAAAATTCATGGATGGGAGAGATACAGGAGCAGATGTTTTTTTTCTCACGCCTGGGCTTAAAGACAATGGCCTCCATCTTATGTTTATTTATGTTTATTTATTTGGCAGACGCTTTTATCCAAAGCGACATACAAATTTTAACTTGTAGGGCATGTCGTGATCTGTGGGGGAAACCAGCGTACCCGGAGGAAACCCACGCATGCATGGGGAGAACACGCAACTCCACGCAGAAAGGCCACAGCCCAGTTTCGAACCTGCAACCTTCTTGCTGCGAGGCAACAGTGCTAACAACTGCGCCACCATGCAGCCCACCTTATGCCTTATCTTATAATCTTATACTCATTCAAACAGAGGAAGTCAGATGTGAGCCGCATCTTTATGTCTGAGAGGCATTCATGGAGCAAATGAGTAGAACCTAACTGATGTAGAGAGAAATAAATCTGACAATCATCAGCATAAAGGTGGTAGTGAAGGCCATATTTAGTAAAAATGGAACATTGAGGAAGGATGTAAATAGCAAAGAGTAGTGGACCAAGAATTGAGCCTTGCGGAACACCCCAAGAAAGTGGAGATAAAAATAATTTAACTGAAGTATGCTTTTAACAAGCAGACAAATGATTCAAGTAGAGCTCAATGTTTAACATAGACATGATCACGTGTTGAAAAAGATCATTTGACCTCGTTACACATAAACGACCTGCTGTTTGTATTTCACCAGATGTAGAAACTACAACCCAGGCTAGGTGATGAGGGAGTTAAGGCTCTCACTCAGCTCTACATCTGCTCTGAAGTAAATAAGATTGTCTCCCACCTCTTTCAACAAAACACAATTAGTGTTATTACTATGTAATAACTGATAAGCCTCGGAGCCTTCCATCAGACACGACAACGTTAAGAAGGCAGCTAAAATGCTATACTGTATGTTGTCTTTGGCCAGATTTTCATATCATCCTGGAGGGATGGACCCTTTAGTTCAGTAGTCAGAGGGACTGTAACAGTGGCAGCTGGTGTTCCCACATAGTTTACGTCTCTAAAAAGCTCATAAAAATGGATTAGTGCGAATCTATTGCATCACATATCTATGGTCGCAATTTAAACAAACGCTGGACCAGAAGTAGGTTGCATATTTCACGCAAAGGATCTTGGGCGGCTAGGATTAGGTGGATTGTTTTCTGATGGTAAAAATCCTTCATGCTGTTGTGGGAAGTGGGCATTCAGACTCCATCCCACACTCACCATTGGTGCTGACAGATCCCCACAGCCTTCATAATGTTGGCTGTAGCACCCCCACAAAAAAAACAAATGCATTGATGCAACCAAGCCTATGTGTGCTGCTAGTGCCCTAACGCTTTTGAAACCTGGGGTGTGTAACAAAACAGATCCTGACCCAATCAGGGGTGCTGCAAAAACGTCATGTTTGACGATCGCTTCATTGCTTCTGAAATCTGTTTGAATTAGAAAACCGATCATTCAGCACAAGACCGATAACAATCTCTATCTTTTCTGAGTGCTCACTGATGATTATGGCCGTTTACTGAGCCTTTCTTGTGTTTTTGTCTCTTCTAGATTACGCCTGGATTAGAGGTGAAGCAGAATGACATCTAATGGAAAAGTGTACCTTCTTGTTTTTGTAAGTGTCACTCTTTGCAACCAAGAGACGGGAGCTTAGGAACCAGCACTAATCTGATAGTCGTTTCAGATCTTTTGTTCTTGTTTGGCAGAAGAAAGGTTGAAACTTGGCCTTTGTTTAACCCTCTGGAGGCAGGTGTTGCAGATTAACCTTAATACCTACCTACCTGGTGACTCCACATGCGTGTTTCATGAGCATTTTTTAACTCAGAAGAACCCCTGAAGGACTTAGTTGTTCGTCCTTTTATCAAAAATAATTTTGAGCCTGAGAGGGTTAGCGTTTTCCCCCAGCTGTTTTTAACCAGACACCTTCGTGTAAAAAAGTGCAAATATTTTTATAGCTAGCCTGAACGCAGCTTAGCCACTGTTGTATAAATAATGGTTTCCCCTTCTGAACTCAAACAGGTGTCACTACTGTTTTGTGTTTGATTAATAGTATCAATGCGCAGTACATAAAACAGGTATGTGTAAACAGATTTAGTACATGACTAACGCCGGTTTCACACTGGAAGCATCGGCGGCGCGACACTGCAGCGGAACGGTTTACTCGCGAACTTCAAAGCGGTCCTTTTCCCACCGGAAGAGGCTTGGCAGCGGCACGGCTTCCTTGCCGTGCTCTTTGCTGGACTCGCGAGATCACACAATCCCTCGAGTCTTCAGGTCACGGTTTGTTTATGCAATCCACCATTAAACCAAAAAGAAGGAAATCACGTTTGATATCTCTGCTGTCATATATGATGCTGTTCCTCTCCACTACCAGGATTAAAGCCATGAAAAACACGCCGCTGCACTTCTGGAATGATGCTGTGAGTAAATAAGCCGTTGGGTCACACGTAAGCTACATATATGTGAAATAGCTTACCTGCAGTACCTTTATTTTGAAAATAACTGGGGATTTTACACAGAAACTGTGTGATTTCCTGTCTAGCCCTAAGTTAACTGCGGAAATTGACGCAGAAGCAGCTTGCAGCAACAATATAACCCGATCCTATCTCTAGCTGTAAGGCGCACGTTTCTGAGACGCACCTGGAAATTGCTGCGTCGCTGCCGGTGTGAAACAGTCCATAGACTATAATGGACTCCATTTGAAGCCGTGACGTTCCGCTGCCGTTCTTCGCCGCTGATGCTTTCAGTGTGAAACCGGGTCAGACTCTGAATATTGTTTTGAGCTCATCAGAATCAAGTAAACTACATGAACTTCTTTCATGCTGACCGACATTCTGAAAGATCTGTTTGCTTTTGACAGAATTAATTAACTTAATGATCGGAGTTGCAGCTATTGAACATTTCAATATACGAATATTCTATCAAATCGTCGTCGTCGTCTTCCTCCGCTTATCCGGGTCTGGGTCATGGGGGCAGCATCCCAACTAGGGAGCTCCAGACCGTCCTCTCCCCGGCCTTCTCCACTAGCTCCTCCGGCAGGACCCCAAGGCGTTCCCGGACCAGATTGGAGATGTAACCTCTCCAACATGTCCTGGGTCGACCCGGGGGCCTCCTGCCGGCAGGACATGCCAGAAACACCTCCCCGGGGAAGCATCCAGGAGGCATCCTGACAAGATGCCCAAACCACCTCAACTGGCTCCTTTCGATCCGGAGGAGCAGCAGTTCTACTCCCAGTCCCTCCCGAATGTCCGAGCTCCTCACCCTATCTCTAAGGCTGAGCCCGGCCACCCTACGGAGGAAACTCATTTCGGCCGCTTGTATCCGCGATCTCGTTCTTTCGGTCATTACCCAAAGCTCATGACCATGGGTGAGGATTGGGACGTAGATCGACCGGTAAATCGAGAGCCTGGCATTCTGGCTCAGCTCCCTCTTCACCACGACAGATCGGCTCAGCATCCGCATCACTGCAGACGCCGAACCAATCCGCCTGTCGATCTCCCGATCCCTCCTACCCTCACTCGTGAACAAGACCCCGAGATACTTAAACTCCTCCACTTGAGGTTGGACCTCTCTCCTGACCCGGTGTTGGCAAGCCACCCTTTCCCGGTCGAGAACCATGGTCTCAGATTTGGTGGTGCTGATTAGGGCTGTAGCGAAGCCTCGACGAAGTCGACGGCTCGATTCTAAAAATTTGTCGACGTCAGATCCGGAAGTCGACGCACCGCGCCCACTTGTTGCATCCCCAGGAGTTTGTAAATAGAGGAGGAATCTGCCCGTTTTTCCTCTAGTTCGCCCTCTTCTCCGCCTTCACTAAAATCTCCGCCAAATACCGAAGACCCGGAACAACGTCCGTCCACTACTAGATTATTTTCCTGTTTTGCCCCTTCGTCTCCCGGCAACGGACAACAACTTCCGGGGTCAGATGCGCTGCTTCGTGTCTATCGCAGATGTAGAAAATCACCGGGAGCGCTTCTCCCTTCATTAAGGAGCTTCTTTCAGACATGAGGAGAGCTGTTTTGGTGGTAGCAGTCTCTCCTCCGTGCTGGTCTGTTTGCTGCTGGGTGTTTTTGGTTTATTTAAACTTGGTAACTTGAACTTAACGTTGGTAAAGCTACTGTTAGCATCTTCGCTAACAGCTTCTTGCGTTGGGATAAGCTGTTACGTTTTGGTTTAGAGTTCATCTTTTTTGTGGTGTAGATCTCCCTTTTATTACATTTAGAGTGTTGTGGGTTTTCGGTTTAGTGTAAAATATCACCTGAGTTTGGTTTAACCCGTAAGACCACTCGCCTCACGCACATAAGTGACCAAAACAAAGCAGCATGGAGACACTCCATCTTCTACCACCTCTCAGGCAGCAGCCTGCACTCCCAAGTTCTACACGTCACCAGAACATAACCAACCAACACAATAAAAGCAGTGTTATACAAAATGGAAGGCCTGTAGTGTTTATTCTCTTACAGTAAGAATTTATCAATTTTTTTGAGGAATTTATTTGAGATTTTCTGGTTTTTGTTAATTGTGCAATAGAAAAATAATCATTAGATTAATTTTCTAAATAGTCATTAGAATAGTCGACTATTCGATAAAATAATCGTCAGAATAATCGTTTTAAAAATAATCGTTTACCCCCAGCCCTAGTGCTGATCCTCATCCCAGCTGCTTCACACTCGGCCGCGAACCTACCCAGCAAGAGCTGAAGGTCAGAGCTGGATGAAGCTAGGAGGACCACATCATCTAACAAAAAGCAGAGACGAGATTCTCCTGCCACCAAACTCGACACACTCCACACCACAGCTGCGCCTAGAAATTCTGTCCATAAAGGTAATGAACAGAACCGGTGACAAAGGGCAGCCCTGGCGGAGTCCAACCCTCACCGGGAACAGGTCCGACTTAATACCGGCTATGCGGACCAAACTCACGCTCCTCTGGTAAAGGGACTGAATGGCCCTTAACAGAAAGCCACCCACCCCATACTCCTGGAGCGTCCCCCACAGGGTGCCCCTGGGACACGGTCATAAGCCTTCTCCAAGTCCACAAAACACGTGGATTGGTTGGGTAAACTCCCATGCCCCCTCCATCACCCTTGCAAGGGTATAGAGCTGGTCCACAGTTCCACGGCCAGGACGAAAGCCACATTGCTCCTCCTCAATCTGAGATTCAACTATCGATCGGACCCTCCTCTCCAGTACCTTGGAGTAGACCTTTCCAGGGAGGCTGAGGAGTGTGATCCCCCTATAGTTGGAACACACCTCAGGTCACCCTTCTTAAAGATGGGGACCACCACCCCGGTCTGCCACTCCACAGGAACTGCCCCCGATGACCACGCAATGTTGCAGAGACGTGTCAACCATGACAGCCCTACAACATCCATAGCCTTGAGATACGCAGGACGAACCTCATCCGCCCCCGGGGCTCTGCCGCTGTGTAGTCGTTTGACTACCTCAGGAACTTCTGCCCCCGAGATTGGACAGTCCATCCCCAGGTCTCCCGGCTCTGGTTCCTCCTCGGAATGAGCATAGGTGGGATTGAGGAGCTCCTCAAAGTATTCCTTCCACCGTCCGACTATAGCCCCAGTTGACGTCAGCAGCTCTCCATCCCCACTGTAAACAGTGTGAGCGAGTTGCTGACTTCCTCTCCTGAGGCGCCGGACAGTTTGCCAGAACCTCTTTGGAGCCGATCGATAGTCTTTCTCCATGGCCTCACCAAACTCCTCCCATGCCCGAGAGTTTGCCTCAGCAACTGCCACTGCTGCACCCTGCTTGGCTATCCGGTAACTGTCTGCTGCCTCTGGAGACCCACAGACCAGCCACGCCCTGTAGGCCTCCTTCTTCAGCCTGACGGCTCCGCGAACCTCTGGTGTCCACCAGCGGGTACGGGGGTTGCCACCACGATTGGCACCGGCCACCTTGCGACCACAGCTAGCAAAAGCGGCCTCAACAATCGCAGAGTGGAACAAGGCCCACTCAGAGTCAATGTCCCCCACTGCTCTCGGGACGTGTTCAAAGCTCTGCCCGAGGTGGGAGTTGAAGACCATCTTGACAGGTTCTTCTGCCAGGCGTTCCCAGCAGATCCTCACTATGCGTTTTGGTCTGCCAGGTCTACGCGGCATCTTCCCCTGCCATCTGATCCAACTCACCACCAGGTGGTGATCAGCTGACAGCTCCGCTCCTCTCTTCACTCGGGTGTCCAAAACATATGGCCGCAAGTCAGATGACACAACTGCAAAGTCTATCATCGACCTGCGACCTAGGCTGCCCTGGTACCAAGTGTACCGGTGGGCATCCTTATGTTCGAACATGGTGTTCGTTATGGCCAAACTGCAGCTTGCACACAAGTCCAATAACGAAACACCACTCGAGTTCAGATCAGGCGGGCCGTTCCTCCCAATCACACCCCTCCAGGTCAAGCTGTCATTGCCCACGTGAGCATTGAAGTCCCCCAGCAGGACAATGGAGTCCCCTGATGGAGCACTATCTAGCACTCGTCCCAGGGACTCCAAAAAGGGTGGGTACTCTGAACTGATATTTGGCCCATAAGCACAAACAACAGTCAGGACCCGTTCCCCGACCCGAAGGCGCAAGGAAGCTACCCTCTTGTCCCCCGGGGTAAACCCCAACACACAGGCAGAGAGTCTCGGGGTTAACAAAAAGCCAACCCCAGCCCTCCGCCTCTCACCCGGAGCAACTCCAGCAAAGGAGAGTGTCCAACCCCTCTCAAGGACTTGGGTTCCAGAGCCAATGCTATGTGTCGAGGTGAGTCCGACTATATCTAGCCGGTACCGCTCAACCTCTGCCACGAGCTCCTGCTCCTTCCCCGCCAGCGAGGTGATGTTCCATGTCCCAAAAACCAGTTTTCTTGTTGGGGGATCGGATCGCCAAGGCTCCCACCTTGGTCTGCCACCCGATCCACATTGCACCGGACCCTTCATGTTCCTCCTGCGGGTGTTGGGTCCACAGTTGGATGAGCCCATGTATCCGGTTCGGGCTGGGCCCGGCCGGGCCCCATGGGCGAACGCCCGGCCACCAGGCGCTCGCTCACGGGCCCCAACCCCAGACCTGGCTCCAGGGTGGGACCCCGGTAACCCTCTGGGCCGGGTACTCCGACTCTTAGAATTTACATCCATGAAAGATCCTCTGAACCGTTCTTTGTCTATCAAATTGATTATTCAAATATTCTATTTGACAACCTTTCAAGAGGTGGAAAAATTCAAATATATTTATTTAAAAATCAAACACTCAAATGATTCCTTTTCAAAAAATGCCACATTTTATTTAACTACAACAAACTAAAACTAACCAGTGAAACTGATAAAAGCTAGAACAAGGGTGTCTATCCAGCATGTTAGGGTTAACCCTAACCATCATCGATCTAGCTCACCTGGTTTTCATCAGCAGGTGAGCTACAGGTTTATGCAGAATCTGATGAGCTGCTGCTAGAAAAATACTAGTGATGGGAATTACGGCTCTTTTTAGAGAGCCGGTTCTTTTGGCTCAGCTCGCCAAAAAGAGCCGGCTCTTTCGGCTCCCAAGTGGCTCCCCAGTTTTTCTGTTGCATAGAGGACATTTATAACCAAAATAATGCAAAACTATATGTAAAATGATTTACTAATGTAAAAAATTGCAATATATCAAATATTTATCATTTCTATGGATTTAATAACTGAACACTTTAAGAAATCTCCACTTTCCAACTGCTGGCGCTCATTTTCTCACCGTCTTCGTCGCACTCTCCTCTCTCTCTCTTGCCTTTTTCCTCCTCCTCACTCCCTCTCGTCTCCCTCCACCCGCATGTGTTCTGCTTTGTGTCTGAGTCTGATCCTCCCTCTTCCCCGCCCCTACTGCTCTGTGTGTGGACAGTCTGGACATGCAGTTACACATGTTGACCAATCGCCTGTAGCATTCACCAAAGCAAAAGGGGAGGGGACGGCTCCCAATGACGAGCCGGCTCCCGTCGTTCACTTCAAAGAGCCGGCTCTTAGAGCCGGTTCGTTCGCGACCGACACATCACTAGAAAACACGTCATTGTCAGAATTCTGACCTGCAATGAAACAAAGTTGTATTTGAAATCAAGTGACCCCTCAGGAGCTTAAATAATGCGAAGTAGATTTTTTTCTTTACTTTACAAGCTATGGAAACACTAATACAGCTGTTTAATTTGCTTTCTAGTGTTTTGTTATCACACCTGATCTATCAATGGAGGGTAGTGATGACTACTTGAACATTGAGGTATGTATTCTTGTATTTGTTGGGACTAGGCTGGGTGTGGGGAAGCACCTGGGGGTGTGTGGATCGATTCCTGATCGATTCCCATATCAACAGTATTGATAAAAACATCAGTATCATTACACTAATATTTTATTCAGTTCCTCCTGTTTAAGTCTGCTTACGTCAGTTTCTACTTTGTTATTTATTAAAAAACTTGTGGCAAATGTACGCAAACTGACCCTGGTGAACTGACAGCGCAGCCGGTGACATGGTGAATTTAAGCTTTAACCGGTTTTATAGGTCAGAAAATGACTTGGCTTAAGTACATTTGTTTTGCTGAACTTAAAGAGCAAGTCACCCCCTACCAGAGTCTTAATCCACTGCCACTTCCTGTTTGAAAAAGACAACAAATGCTGTTGCCTGGCACACGGA